AGAGAGAATTTTGGAGGTATTTATGGAGGGAATTTTTTTGTGGTGTGGAACTGTTAGTGCTAAAACCAAGATAGTCCCTGGCAAACTGGGTGCTTGGTCCCTATTCTTGCCGTAAGGGTGACAGTGTTTTTGTCCTTCTCACAGAATTAAGCTTTTGCTTTATGAGATTGAGATTGAGAGATTATAGGTAGAGTTTTGTGTCCCTCTGTGCAACTGCTGTTCCCATCCTGCAGGTCTGTGCCACAATGAACACTGTCTTAAGGGCTCTTCTTTCTTTGCTTTTGTTTCTGGTGGGATGTGGGGTAAAAACCTGCAGGAAGGTGTGGACTCCTCCAGTAAGTGTTCATACTGGCTTCATACTTCCCTGCCCTCACTGTGCCCTTACCTGTTCCTGTACCTCTCGGACTGTATTCTGCTTCTTCTTTGGCCCAGGTAAGCAGTTGCTGTCATCTTCCCTGCCCCTCTTTTGATGGAAGGCAGTTGTTTACTATGTGACTTCACTTCTCTTACAAGTTTGAAATAATCCGTGAATTTATATTGAGTTAGACTTTATTTTATTCTAAGTGTGGGATGATGTTCCTTATAGCCCTGTACATCTCAGTGAAAAGTTGAACTCTGCCTGAAAAGTTTAATGTACATACATTTTCTGGAAATTTTATAGATGTGTAAATTCTGCTTCAGTAGGTTTAAGGGAAGCCTCAGATTTTGCATCTCTAATATGTTCCCAGAGCTTTCGGTGCAACAGGTCAAGTGACCATATTTTGAGTAGCAAAATTGTCCAAGTAGTTTTTTCAAGGTGGGAAAGAATTGAGTCATGTAGATAATAAACTCAGGCATGCTTGAGTTAAGAAAAGAAATAAGCAAACAGATATGACAGTGATAATTTAAGATGTATTTTTTTAAACTGATGGAATTTTATGTCTGTGAGAAAGATCTTATTGTTTAAAAAATATTGTCTTCCAATTTTATTTTATTTTTTTGTCCTCAGAGGGGGTTTCATAAAGATATTAGACAAAATATAGCTGAGCGTGGTGGTGCACGCTTGTAATCCTAGCACTCAAGAGACTGAGGCAAGAGGATCGCCATGAGTTTGAGGCCAGCCTGGCCTACATAGTGAGACCCTGTCTTAAAAAAAAAAAAAAAAAAAAAAGTAAATTATTAATGCAATCACCTTTGAGAAATAAATGCCGTGTAATGTATATGCAGTCATTTGCCATGTAATGATATTTTGGTCAATGACTGTATTAGTGAACTCCGTGCTACTGTAATGAAATACCTTAAGCAGCTAGTTCTCTAAGTAGCAGACTTTCCTTAGCCCACAGTTCCAGAGGCTGAAAGTCCTAGGGGCCTGTCGCAGGCTTTGCAACCATGGTGCAGATGGCAATGGTGGGAGTGCATGTCAGACTGAGTGTCGTGTCATGGTGGAAATGCATATATGTGGGAGACACATACAACTCGAAACAGGAAATCAGGTGCGTGTGCACGCCCGCACACACACACACACACACACACACACACACATACACACACACACACACACACTAGGGTCCCATAATCCCTTCTGAGGGCACTGACGAAGGACCTCCCAACAGCTCCACCCTGGGGACCAAGCCTTGGGACAGCTAAGGGTCAGATGTGCATCACAATGTTCACTGCAGCTGGAGTGCTGTGGTCTATGTTTCCTACGTAAGAGAACATTGTCCTGGATAACCACAGTATAAATGTGTACATTGGTACCAAGTTTCACTGCTTGTCCTGAATACTGCTAAACAGCAGGAAGATCAGACCAGAATCACACATTGTATTTAGTTGTTACGTATCTTTAATTTCCTTCCATCTGGAATAATTCCTCAGGGAAGCCACTGCAGTTACAGTGTGCTAGGCTTGTCTTATACTTTTCCCACTCTAGCTCTGAGCTCAGCCATTTTTCTGAGGATCCCTGGTTTCTTTCAGCGTGGAGTGGTATTTAGAAACCACAATCCGGTAGTAAATATGTTCTTTTCTATGAGAGTTTGGCTATTTCCAGACTCTCACAGTAGACTAGTGAACAAAAAAATATATGTATTTATACATAATATGTATCATTTCTATTTGTGTATCTGTCTATGTAGTATAGATAAGAATTCATAACAGATTCTCCAATCCTAATCCAATACTACAAGGTACATTCTAGTTTCTCACGTTCTGTATATCTCACTGTTCTCTGGCAGAGAAGTACCTGGCTCCTATTCTTCTTGATTTATTTGTTATTTTGACCACTGTTTCAGTATGTTACCAGTATCCCATCATCACCACTGTTGATCTTCCCCCAGACAGATGCCCTTCTCACTTCGGTTTATGCCTCAGAAACCTCCCTGCTACCACGTAGAAGCCTTTCAGCTCAACTGAATTTTGATACCTTATGCCAGATTGACCCCATGTGGATACCATCACCCTGCTTGAGCTCTGAAAATCTGCTCTGTGCTGCTGGCTGTCTGCTCCTGCACACATGCCCACCTTACTCAGTCCCACCTCATAACTTTTGGACTGAAATGTTATGGAGAAAAGAGAAAGAGATCGAGAGAGATGGGGGAGAGGAGAGAGGGATAGAGGGAAAGAGGGAGAGAGGGGGGAAGAGAGAGAAAGAGAGAGAGAGAGAGATGTCTTCTCTCCAACCACTTATGTAAATCTTGTGAAGCTTTAAGTCCAAGCCCAAAGAGCTTTACTCTTCTTAGAGGCTCTCTTTTTAGGCACACAATTTCTTCTTTCTACAAATTTATGTTATAAATTATTGTTATCTAATCATCTCATATTCATTCATGTATCCTACCTACTCTCCAACTCTGTGTAACTTTTGAGATCAGAGATAATTTTCTGCAAGGTTTTTTTTTTTTTTTTTTTTTTTTTAGACAGGGTCTCACTATGTAATTGAGGCTGGACTTGAATGCATTATGTAGCCTAGGCTGGCCTTGAATTTGTGGCAGTCCTCCTGCCTCAACCTCCCCATTGCTGGAACTACAGGTATATGCCACCATGCCTGGCATTCTGGAAGTTTTTTTCTTTAGTGATAATGCAAAGACAGATATTTTTAAAAGTTGCTAGTTGATTTGTGAGAATGTTCCTTTATTTTAGAACACAAGATTTAGTAATTGAACCCTGCTTTGTTATAGATTAGTAAATCTTTAGCTGATAGTTAAATGATAGTAATTTCAAGTAATTTAAATGGGAAACAATTCTGAGGAAAAGAATAATGTTCCCTTTTATTTTTAATTTTGTATATGTAAAAAAATAATGCAGTAAATTCCAATGATCTATTTTTCTAGATTTATGCACATTTCATTAAGTAATTCATTTTTTTATTATTAGAGAGAATCCTGTTTTGCATGAATTTCAGTAGCTATGTTTTAAATAACATTATTCTTCAAAATTCAAATTTTATTTATCTCAGTCTATTAACTTCAAATAATTGGATGAAGTACAAACTTTACTGTAAACTGCTGCTGCCTCCTCAGTTCACAAATCATTATGTAAAAACAGATGATTATGAGATTATTATTTATTATACTTAGAGAAAGCATGTGTTTGTGTTTTCTCCTTGTTTCCTGGTGATAAAGCCATACAACATTTTACAAGAAATGTATACTCCAAAGAGAATTAAAGGCCAGGCACAGGGGCATTGTGCCTGTAGTCCCAGCTACTCAGGATGCTGAGGCAGGAGGATTTCTTTACCCTAGGAATTCCAGGCCAGCCTGGGCAACATAGTCTAAAAAAAGAAAAAATTGAAAAAGAAGTTGACTGGAAAGCAGCAGTGAAATGAGGCGTGATTGTATTAGCTGGTTTTGCCTTATTATAGCAACATACTTGAGGCTAGTAACTATAAATAGAAGAGGTTTGTTTAGCTTATAGTTCTGGTGGCTCAAAGCCCTGCACTTGGTAATGACCCTGTCACTAGCAGAGTCTTGATGTGGTGCAGGGACCACATGGCAAGAGGTGAGGCGTTGGTATGTGTATTGCTATCATTTGGTCTCTCTTCTTATGAGGCTGAGGGTATTCAATTATGGCAGCTTCACCCTCATGACTAATCCTGACCGCTTCCCAAAGGCCCCACACATAAACCACATAGTCAAATTTTCTCTCTTTTAATACCTCACAGTAGGGATGACCTTTCAATGCATGAACTATTGGGGGATGTGCTTAAACCTCTTCCACTAAAATTCCATTCCATTCCAATGGAGTACTGAAGAAATGATCGACTTTGGGAATGTCACCACTGGTATTGAGCTGCTGCTATCTGAGACTCCAGGGGAGCTCAGCGGAGGCAGATTTACTGACTTAAATGAGGAAAGTGAAGAGGTTGTGATGAGAAGATGATATTCTAGAGGAAGTGATCCTAGTGAAAAGTTCACTTTATTAAAGGAAGTCTCAGAAATGTTTTATGACATTGAAAAAATGTAGAGCATAAACTATTCTGTGGTAATCTGGACTTGGAAAGGATCGTGACAGTTCAACAAGGTATACGAAGTGTGCTTGTTCCATATTATTAAAAGTTATGTGATGAGACATTATATGAGGAAGACTAGCACTGTCAAGCTCCTTTTGTTAAGTAGAAAGAAATAACACATTTTAGTTGTCAGTGTTTCTATTTCAAATTAGTGTATTAAATTAACATTAGTCTTACTATTTTTAAATTTCTCTTTACATTTATACCTGTTAGTAAAAGACTTTTTAGTGTTTTGACAAAGAAATTCTTGAAGGTCACAGAACAATTAAAATTTTCCTGTTGGTTGGTTATTTATTTGCTATGCTATGGATCAAATCTCACATGTGCTGGTCAAGTTGCACCCTAGCCCCTTGGTCATTAAGACCATTTTGTACAGTTTAAGCTTTCATTGTCAGCATTACAGACCTATATGGTATTGTATTAGCATGGGGCATTTCAGAAGTTCATGTATATATCTTTATTTTTATACATTGTAATGACTTCGTTGTTTGAATACGTTTTGAATTTAAAATGTTTTTAGCATGCAGATATCCAAAACCTGAGATTATCATTGTGAAGCGTGCCAAGGAGATATCAGCAGAGAGCCCTGATAGTTTTGGTATAGTACAATCTTATGGTGTTGTTTGTTAGATGTTTTTTGTAAGTAGCAAAGTGTCTATGTGACAGAATGTCTTGCTTGTTTGAAATAGAATGCTCTGAAAGTTTTTTGCAGTAGTATTTTAGACTGTCAACAGAATATTTATTTCTATTACCTAACCCTGGCTTTTGTGGTGATGACTGAATAATAATTGCATGCTTAACTAACTGAACGATTAAATTGTTGAGCTGAAAAGATGAAATCATTTTTACTTAATTATATTTAGTTAATGTCTTTTAAAAATTGTTGAACTAAGCATAGCAAATGAAATATAAACAACAAGGGCTGTGAATTTCTTTATGGTGAATGAGTTGGAAAAAAGACCTATGTACAGAAACCTCAAAATATTATAAAGATAACTTATTTAACTAATGGAACTTCAGGGAACATTCAAGTTTTTGTTTCTTTCGGGGATCCAGCCTAGGGCTTCATGTGTGATAGGTGAGTGTTCTGTCACTGAGTTATATCCCCAGCCTACTTTTAGCATATAAAAAAATACATATTCTTGAATAGTTTGAAATCTTCTGTAAGTTCAAAGCCATTAGTGAAAGGATTTTAGATTCAGCCAACATATAATTTGATACCTAATTTAAGTTGCATGCTGTGGTGGTGGTAGAATTTGTGTATGTTTGTGTTTGTATGTATATATGTATAAAAGATGCATACACTGAGAGTGAGAGATTAACTGTCCTTTTATTATTTTTTTATTACTCTTTATATACTTTGCCGAAGAAGTGTAATATGATGTATGAAAGTGAATCTGAAGTATTTTATGGTTTTGTGGGGCAATGGAAATTTTGTATGGAAAAGGTTTAACCAGTCTAGTGATTCAGTGATCCATTTTTGGAACACCAATAAGGACAGAGCAAAATGAAATGTGTTCTCTTCAAATGCTTGTTTCTTGAATTTTTCCAGGTGACATATATGAATTTCATGCAGAAATGTAAAACATTTCAATTTTTGTTGTAATTGGGTAATGCCTCCCTCCTTCCCTCTTTGTCTCTCTGTCTCTGTCTGTCTGTCTGTCTGTCTGTCTCTATATATATGGTATGAAGGGCAAAACCAAGTTGTAGAACTTCAGAGAAATACAGAGGTATAGTGGTGTGTTCACATGTATGTATGTGTAAGACACATGTATATATTAGCTTAGTAGAACATTGTAAAAATCCTTTAGTATAATCTCCTTTACCAGTTCTAATGTATTTCTAAAATTAAAAATTTAAAAACTCATAGGCATACACATTTAATGCTGATACCTTTTGAAGAATAGTTTTAATTTTTAATTATGCTGAAGATTGTTTACTTAGCCCTCACTTTTGGGATGATGTATGGAAAAAGAAATTATATTTACTATATAGATGATGGCAAACAGTATCACTGGCAGGTACAACGCTGCTGAGGCATGACTAAACTAACAGTAGGGTTTACCTGTCAGTGTTCACCTTTTGAAACTTATTCTTCAGTTATATCCATTGTGTGTGTGTGTGTGTGTGTGTGTGTGTGTGTGTGTGTGAGAATTCATATATATTATGCTTCTTCATAAATGTTTAGGTGGTACCCATTTTAAAAAATATCCTGGTATACAATAAAACAGAAATACACAGTCAGTCTCAGAGTTTGAAGGGATTGCAGAGACTAAACCTCTCATTTTGTGTAATATGAAAACATGTTCAGGATTTGGTGACCAGTTATGTGTCAGAGTAGGGATTTGTGTCAAGTCCTTTGGGTTTTTACTTTGGTACTCTTTCATAAAAATGTTCCTTCAGGGTTAGCAGTGGACATTAGCCCTAAACTACAGAGTATCTAATTGTTCTGAAACCAATTAGATACTGGTTTAGAGGTGCAGAACTCTCATGTAAGAAATGTTTTATCCGGTGACCAATATGAGTCATTTGAAAATGATGTGTCTAAAGAGACTTAATTCTAGGAGAGGAAAAAAAAGCAATTTGAAGAGAATATTAGTATTTAAGTTAATTGCAGTTTTACTTCAATTTCAAATATTAGGATGACAGCGATTTTTTATTCACATATGATTGGATTTTGGTTGTTCTGGATTTTTTTTTCTTAAATTTATTAAAGGACCAAATTAGGAGCTAGAACCTGGGATCTAGATCTAGCTGTGGATTATTCATTTACTTAACATCTCTGGCTAAATCTTCCATGTGGATAATTAAGTTCACTATGTCAGTGGGCAGACTTTTAACATTTAGGCTGGATAATTCTTTGCTGTGAAGAACTGTGTGTTGCACTATAGAGCGCTTAGGATCTCTAATGCTAGTAGCATTTCCCAGCTGCTGTCGCATGCAAAACAGCTGTGTATTTCCAGGTTTCTTCTAGGGGAGGTATCATCCCATGAGAGCCACTGACAGGTGGTTTCTAATTATCCTTTCCACTCTAACATTTTATAAAAGAATTCTCTTTTCTCCTTGAATTTATTTCATTTATTTGTTTACTTTTTAAAATACTTTATTTTATAGAGCAGTTTTAGGGTCATAGAAAACGGAGGGGAAGGTAGAGACGCCCATCTCCCCTCCCCCACACTTAGCCTCCTCTGTTACCAGCATCCCTTATCAGGGTAGGACATTTGTTACCGCTGAAGAACCTGTGCTGGTGCGTCATTATCACCTCAGGTCCTTAGCTTACTTTAGAACTCCCTCTTGGGTTAGTGGAGGAAATGTCTGATCACAAGTATCCATTTTAGTCTCAGAACTTTTCCACTGCCCTACAAGTCCTCTGCACTCTGCTCATTCATCCTCCCCTTGCCCATAACTCCTGGAAACTCATCTTTCACTATCATTTTGCCTATTCAAGAATGTTACAGGGGCCAGGGAGATAGCTCAGTGGCACAGTGCCTGCCTGGCAAGCGCAAGGTCGTGAGTTTTATTCCTGATACCAAAAAAAAAAAAAGAATGTTATAAAGTTGGCATTATACAGCGTGCAAGCTTTCATATTGGCTTCTTTCATTTAGTGCTGTGAAAAAATTCTTATTTGGGGAATGTTTGAAAGGGAAAAAGGTAAAGCATTAAGAATCTCTACTGCCTAATAGACATTTATTTTAAAATGTGTATCTTTGGGGGATCTGTGTAGCTGTACTCCCAGACAGAGCTACCATTTGTGATGTTCTAATCTAGGTTAAAGTTTTTTTAGCTTTAAACTTTCTGTCTATAATATTATACATAGTTATTTGATTTTTTTTAAGCTAAAAGTTACCATATACTTAAAAACTAAAAGTAACAAGACCTGTGTTTTAAAAAGTTGTATTGTTGTTTTAATATCTTAGCTTTAAAAAGGACTATTATTTTAGGCAACTAACTTTGCTCTTCCATAGGCATGAAGGAAGTTTATGTTAAACAGTATGTATAATTGTTCCAAATACACAAGTTAGGCATAAAAATGACCACAAACCAATAGTATATTTGTTTATCCTAAATAAATTATGAAATAAAAGATAAAAGAAAATTTAAATTATTGTATCTCTCGTACTTAGTATGCCTTCAGCCAGAGTTAAATAGCTAATGGGCTAGTACATTACTAAGGGTGATGGTTCATTGAGTATGATAGCTTTCCTGTCATTATCATTGGCTAACTCTTGTCTTTAGTTGCTATGCCACTGGCTTACTCTGGCCCAGAATAGCTGCCACTAGTGTAGGTTGTGGTCAAACCCCTGGTTTCACAGTAAGTTCCCCAGAAGGTTAGTAAGATGATGGTCTTAAATAATCTAAGTAGAAATTTCTTTTCTATATAATATATATGTTGCAATGATCAATGTTAAATTCTAGATAAAATGATAAGAACATACTTGTGCTTTTTATGGGTTTTACCTAAGGCAATGTATTTGAGAAAAGAATTTAAAAGTCCTTTTACAATTAGAATTTTTTAGCTTTGCCCAGTGGCAGTATTGAAGCCATTGAGGTTTATCCGAGGTGTGATTATTGCTGAACAGTTAGAATTTTAAAAAAAGAATTGTTATTTAAAATCTACTAACAAGTTTTTTGCTGTTTCCAAAGTGCATTTAAAAAATTTGAATGTCACTTTCTGCAAGTATATTACTTACCCACATTTATTTGTTGAGCTTGATACACCCCTTTTGGTGCACGGCTTTTTAGTATTTAATTTGATTTGCTTAAATTATTTTGCATACAGCATGGTTACATTTTAAGTTTGTATTCTTTTAGTGTGTTACATTTTTATTGTAAATTTCACCTTACTCATCTGACAACTTTTTTTTTTTTTTTTTTTTTTTTGTGTGTGTGTGTGTGGTACTAGGGACACCTTACTCATCAGAACTTTTGTTTCTGTTAAGATTGAAAAGTTATTCATAAGGTCCAGAAGTGTGAGAGACTGAAAACCTCAGGCCTCAAATTATTGCTTAAACACACTAGTTTCATCTCAGTTCTTTTTCTAAATCTCTCACTAGGCCAGAGTGTGCTTTGTGCGGCCAGCCCTGCTTCCTGTATTTTTTGAGGAAGATGCTGTGACCAGTCTGTAGTAAAGATTAGATGGTCAAAGTACTAGAGACTGGGTAATTGGACTCTTGAAAGAAAAATGATTTATTTGTAATAAAGGAAGAGCAAAGGCATTACATTCTTTCTGCATGTCATCTCAGTGGAGTTGTTTTGATTCTTTAAGTTTATTATAAGTGATTTAAAATTTTGCCTTGATTTATGATCTTATATTGATGATTACGTCCTTGGTAATAGACTAAAATAAGTTATATTTAGAATTATCATTGCTGTGACAGCATAGCAGAAAGTAAACTGGAGGTAAGACTTTATTTTTCAGAATTTGTTTTCAAGTGTGGAGTTATATCTTCTAATGTATGATTACATTTAATGAGATACTTAGCACTGAAGATGATAAATTACAGTTTCTATTTTACTTAAATTACTCTGTATGCCACAGGGCCTAGTTCTGTTTTCCAGCTTTACCATTGTTGTAAACAGATTTTGTAATTTTATCTT